TAAATGAACTGTTTGATATGCTGAATAAAGTTATTCTATTCTATTAAATCATAGTTATTCCACTTAGTAACATTAATACCTAACCTAACATAATGTTAACAATAACAATCATGCATTCATATCTAACTTGTTAGAAGCTTGCACGCTATGTTTTTATTATGAAAATAAGTATTTTGTAATGTTTTATTTATTTTCATTTAATTTAGGTCTTATTTGAACGTGATAATAAAGACCTAACTTTACGTGTTGCAATAATTCTGCACTTCAAAACAGCGTGTAATTTTAGAATTAATGATTTATTTTTACAAAGATGCATATCAATGCCTTCAAAGAGCTTTACATTATAATTAAGGTATACACGTCATGGCTATTAAAACCGGGGTTTTGGTGTTTTCTCATCTTGTGGTTAATCTTAATTAAGCCCCAACCAAATTCAGGCAGTAATCATAGTGGAAACTGGAAAGCAGTTAACCGTTTTGACTGTCAATATCATATGCATTAAATAAACTTACGTACTCTGATTATAGCTATTTTGTTGCTATATAAAAATAAGTATGTAAATAAATATCTACACAGTATAAATAAAATTAACAATACAGCATGTTGCATTGACTGAAAACGTAAACCATAACTTAGTTAAATTGTGATGCAGTTTCAATATGATTTTGAGGAGAATTTTTTGTAGACTCAAATAGAGTTACTAAATAAACTACTAAAATAAAATATGAATGGTGATATTATGTAGAGTTAGAGCAATTTGTTGATACAAGTAACTGTCTCACTAAATATAAATATTTTATTTATTTTGCCAATGGTCCGTGACCCTCACTCGGCATGGGGCACACTGAAAACCAGCGCCGTGGCCTTCGTCACCGTGGGCCGCGGCATATGCTGAGTGGGGTCCCGTTGCAGTGGGCATCTTGTTGGTGAATGGGTGGCACTGCTCAGTTTACTTGTTTTTATTTTTTTCTTCTTCCATTATTATGTGCCATTGTCATGTCTATGTAATTGCCTGTATTTGTGTGATGTCCATTGTAATAAATGTATCTTTCTTTCTTTCTAAATAGTTGAATAATTAGTATTTGATGGATATGTAAGTGGTTGATCCTGGGCTGTGTCATGGCTCGAAGGATAGAGTCACGGTTGTTGGCAGCCGAAATAGCATTGTTTCGTCTTTTTACACGTTACTGATAATGAACCTTAAATTTAATCTGACACAAAGGATACATAATGTCTAGCGGGCAGCTCATCGAATGAATGAATCAGTGTGCCGCAAATTCGCAATCGCAAAGGATATGCATGGGTGTATCCTTATCCTCCAAACTCTATGTACACAGCCAATGGATACGATGATATGATCACACCACTGATCAATTGACATGCTTTCCATGATCTTTCAAAAAGATTTAGGTCGGGGACTTGGGATGATAGGTCAAAGTATGTTAGTATGAATCTACCTACGGTATGGATAGAGTTGGGGTAAATCGTGTTTCAGGGTGTCCACTGCAAATGTTCGAAAAAATTCCCTGACTTTTCCCTGACTTTCCCTGACATTTTTTTCAAAATTCCCTGACCAACTATGTATACAACGTGTCCCAAAATTCAAGGATAAGCCGACGCCACAGGATGGACATAGTCATGACTACTTTAGGAAAAATAAGGAAAAAAATCTATCTCAATTATTTTTTAACCTTCACAATAAATTATGAAATTCAACGAAAATTGACACCCCTTATGATATTTTACATTACCACGACCACAATTTTTCAATAATTCCTGGTTTTCTGTTTATATCGGCAACTTAAGTAGTGCTGCTGTTCACCCCAACTCTTAAAACCCCCAGAATCCTTGCAGTTTTTACACAAAAGTTAATCAAAATATTTTATTTCCTTAAAATTTTGAACGATTTTTACTTTCACTCCACTTTGACTCATCGTTTTGTAAAAAAAAGTATGAACACTACTGCGGCAAGTTTTTTTAAAGTTGACGCAACTATCCAAGATTCCAAAATGGTACTCTAAGAAACCTAGTCGCAAAAAAGATATGCGTACCATTTTTACAAGCACTTCGCTTGTTNTTAATAGCACTCACAGTGAACTGCTCACTAGTCTGCACTCAATAATCAAATCAATAAATAATTATAAAAAAAAATATAAATAAACATAAGATAAAAGTTGCACTTTCACATCGACAATAGAAAATATATCATTTTACTGAAACAAAAAAGTACAACTATTAAAACAAAAAGGAGTAATCTAGTTATGACAAAAAAAATCATAACATAGATCACTCTAATCGTGAAAATAAAACTATATGAAAGTAATCTAATTATGAACAAAATTATGTCATAATTTAGATCAATCCACTTCATTAGATAAAAAACTAAAAAGGAGTAATATAATTATGACTATAGCCTGACCAGGAACATAAAAACCCTCGCCATGTTGCGGAAAACTAATGGTACTAATTTCTTTTAATGGCAACAGTAACTAAAAACTTCACTGACATGTCACCTTGCATGTCAGTCTATTGCTGTCAAAGTGTAAACAAACTTTATTTTAAATGTGCGCAATTGATTTTGTGAATTAAATTGCTAAAATCTTTTTATAGTCGTGAAAGAAAAGTGGTTCACAATGTGTTAAAGTATTTGTCGAAGAGAAATACCAAGGGTTCGGACAATATTTTCATTGAAAATGTTTCCAATAAAGGTTGTTAAATTGACTGACATGTTTATCGTATAGTACAGTCCACTATGAAAATTAGCTGTGGTTTGTTTCAACTACCTATTTTAAAGTTTTTTGTCACTTTCTAAAAGTTGAATTTTATGGAATTGGGAAAGAAGTACCGAGTTTGAAGCGTTCATGAGCAGACATTGCAGTTAAATATTCAAGTTCTGAATTTGATTATTGATGAATAATAAAATAAATCCTACTAGTTCGATTGATGGTTTCATTTAATTTATTTAAACCAGGTTACCTATAATAATATTTTTTCGTTAATTTATGAAAATATCAAATTAGCCCGTAATCCTGAATCCTGAAACATAAAGTTAGCCTATTAATTTAACACAGGTACGACTGTACTCAGTGTTGCACTATCAAATGCAATTGAAGCGCCTCTATGCCAGGGTTTTTATGTTCCTGGTCAGGCTATAAAAACAAAGTCATAATGTAGATCACTCCAAACCTGAAAAAAAAATGCTTCGATAGTCAAGATCAAAGGTCTTTCTAGAGCATAAATTAATTAAATCCCTCATTTTACAATCACTGGGAAATTTCGGGAGACAAACAGTGTTTTGGTAGACAAAATCTCAATGTTTCCCTGACTTTCCAGGTGACCCCTCTATTTCACTGACTTTCCCTGACTGCTATGAGCTTCCCTGACTTTTCCCTGACTTTCCCTGACTTTCCAGAATGTGGACACCCTGTTTATATGTCGCTTCAGAGTATGCGCCTAAGTATGGAAATACAGCGCGGCAGCGGAGTGACGTCATGCCTTTGTACTCTTTTTCGAAGTCGACCGACTGAATTATAAATTTTCTTTCATAGCTATTTTACAAACGACATCTACCTTTTGATTCTCTCTAAATTGAAAGTGTTGTATTGTAACGCCGATAATGATCATCTCAAAATCAATAAACGTGCACTGCTCATTGTTGTTGGTTTCGTCCACGTTTTATTGTCAGGACTAATTTAAGTTCAGTGATAATGTAAAATTTAATGATGTTGTCCAAGGACTCGAATTACGTTTGTTTCGAGGCAACCGTACTCGATGCTCGCGTGAGCGGCCGCTGTTCGGCTTTATCGCCATGGTGAGACGGTGGATCGATTTCAAAGTGAGTTTATGAGTTCGGTCATTATCACGATGAGCTTTTCGATGTTTCCAAAAAATCGAATAACTGAATTGTACGAGTTGACTGGTTCGCTGAAAGATTATTTCATAAAGAAGTCGATTATTTCCTGTAAATAAGAAATTTAATCGTGAAAACATTAGCATAAATTGGTTATGTTTGGAAGCGCAAACGCTAATTCTTGAATACTTAAGCAGGAAATGTAGAGAACATCTAATTTTATTTATCTCCTCATTGAATTGCCAAGTCAAATTCAAAGGCTTAGATTGCGATCCGAGTGCTTACTCGTGATAAGAGTTGCCGTCCATCCAATAAATGGCAGCAAACACATAAACCGGCCTGTCAGTGTGTGTGCGTTTAAAAATTAGAGCAACGAATACTAATCGCTCACACGGACGTGCAAGTGAGATAAAGAATACTAAATAGGTCCTAGATGTATGCGCGAAGTTCAAGAACTAGGTTCAGTGCGATGTATTGACACGGCCGCCGGCTCCAGACACCCGCTGAGCAATCCTAGCAACAGCTCTCACGGATAATCGGGCTATTTATAGGAAAGAATCAAACACGCGTATTACCACATGGGCCCACGTGACCAAGGGGCGATTGCAAAAGTATTATTAACGTGCCTGCCCGTTACCCGCCCAATACGGCTGTCTTAGCCAGTCGTTCGAGGCTCCGTCACTAAAATCAATAATGGAATACTTAGTCCACGAAATTTTTTGTTGTGATTTATGTGACGAAAAAACCGTTTGATTTATGTTACGCAGCTACGCAACATCGATTGTTTGTAAATCTAACACCATTTTCACAGACTATTATTATAAACAAGCTCAGTAAGTTAATTAACAGGATTAGTCGAATATCTACACGAGGAAAATGAAAATGATTTACACCGACTTATTATTTGACACGTCATAAAAGACGTTTGTTACCACAACATGCGATTGCAAAAGGGCTTGATCGTTCTGGATGGCTAGTTTTAGCAAGTTGACCATAACTATAACGATAACCGGTGGATTTTGTATGGAGTTTGACAGATTTTAGACGCATCCTTGCAAGAGATCTGGTCAAGCGTGAGTCAACCCTAGCTATGACACGGGTTACCTTTAAAATCAATGGCAGCCAAGTTAATTATTACTAAAATACTCACTTTGATGCTTATCCGCTAATTGTATGAGGGGGTTGGGTAGGTCCCGCCGCCTGTAGAAGCACATGACTTTTGCCTCCACGTTACCCGACGCGGTTTTGTTTAGTTCCTCTATCCGTCGGATTTGGTAAGGAGACTTCGGCGTCGTCTCGAAATAGACGCAGTCTGTGGACAAAAAAGACATGCATTTTAATATCGTTAAGGTAATTTTAACGCTATTATTCGAGGTAGAAGGCGAACACCCGATTTGGACTATGTAGAGTCAAAAGTCCATCATCAGACCATACATTTTTGATGCAATTTATAAACTTCACATACTACCAAAAGAGTACATAGACAAACTTATCGAAATTTATCTAAAATAGCACTTAAAACATGATACAAATCAGTGATTCAGTGATAGATGACAGATACATGAATGACCTTTATAGAAAAAAACATCTAGGCTTCTGAGTTGATGAATACCGCCCGTATTCACAAACGTTGCTTGCTTAAGTGAAGCAGAAAATCGAACGCACAGCGTTGAATGGAGCTCTGTGATTGGTTCGTGTGTCATCCTTTGCGTCCACGCGCACTGGGAGACCTCATAGTAATGTTTGTGAATACGGGCGTAAGAATTGTGGGAATTAGGGTTTAAGGAAGATAATAATATTTAAAAGACCTACTACATTAAAAATGACCTGATTTCGAAGGATTTTATAATTTTGCTCCTCTTAATATCACTTTGACTTACGAGTACATGACGCAGAATGGTGAGGAAGTATAATACTGACAATAGAATATAATGTCGGTTACAGCTAGTTATCGGTGTAGTAAATGAAAAAAAAAAACCGGAGGCTAAGTCGTGTCTGAGTTGCTGGCGCGGAACGAATGGCTTCTATCAGTACCTACGATGCTTATGGCTCGTACATGGACGACTAATGTAAATGTCTCTTTACCGTTATCCGCGCACAAAATAACGCACGCATAATGACAAAAGCGTCTCTTTTGGATCCAAATTCTGGCGTAGTTTTGGCCGATTGTTTTGACATCTCAATAGATTCATATGCATGAGCTGCTTTATTACCATTTAGCAATGAACACATTTTAGTGTTTCTTTTGAACACCAGCTGCCAGGCATTATTGTTATTTTGCATTTAATTTAAACCTTGCTACAACCTTTATACGCACGATCTCATATTCCATTTGAAATTCTTATTCTGGTGTGATCGCGAGGTGAACTAAAATTAACTTCGATGAGACGAGAATTCACGTGTAATCGGAAAGAAAGAGAGCTTTTTCTACTCACTTCATCCGTTGGTTTGCATAACCGGTATTATTTATGTGCATAATATAAAAATAGCGACATAGGCAAAAAATATAGTAAAAGGAGGGAGGCTCTTGGAAGATAAATTCATTATAAAGATAAAACTGTCAGTTCGTTACTAATTTTGATGTAGCATACAACCAAAACTGTTATGAGCAACGTTTTTAAGTCCATACTTCTTTCGACGTGAACAGCGGTATTATTCGCGGTTCATTCAGTCTGCTACATGTCTAGTTGTGTATTAGATACTTCCAAGAAAGATGAATATCTTTATAATACAAGCAATAAACAATAGATCGAGGACGTGTACGTGAAGCTACGAAACGGCGCGTCACGTCATAAAATCTACCGCCTCCCACTTTGCGACTTAGCGGTTGCAAGAACAACTTTGACTGTGATGTGCTGATCATCTATATTTTGTAGTTCTTAGGCTTGAAATCCTTCTCATCAACAAGATCAGAGTGCTGTAGTACTATAACTAGTTGTGCGTGCAACTTGCGGCATTATGCGGATGATAGCAATGTTAACGCCCGTTCAGTTTTGCCAAGACTGGGTATTATTTTTGGAACGTGTCAATAAGTAAGTGTTGTATATTTAGCTCAGACACGTCATCAACTGGGAACGAATGATTGAATTCAGTGTAGGATTTTCGTGGACGTGGTGTTTGAAATTTAAAATACCCATATATGACAACATGGGAACTTTTGGCAACCCTGGCTCGTAAATTATGTAGAAAGCATGTTGAACCAAGGTTACTCATTATCAATACACTACTATAATAACATACCAATTCCCTTTAAAGCATTGATTGCCGACACTGATACTGCATTAGAATACATCACCTGCAGCAAATCATTTACTGGACTACGTAAGCGCGCACGCTTCCTTTGAAGTTGGTACATTTCGGTTCGATTTGAAGAAGATGGTTAAAAGGTTAATTAGGTAGGTAATCGATGTACATCTTGGAATCGAAAATACGTTTCATCAACAAGCATGCGGTATCTTACAAGAGATACATAATGCCTGGTCAAAATCTTGAATTAACCATTTTATGGGATAAGGTCTTTGATTTGAAATACATAATTGATCTCCTGAAAATCAAATTTGGCTTAGGATACGAAATACAAAGTTTCCTTAATTTCGGAAGTAAAGCTTCAGAACCGGTACCCATGGGACCAAAACATTTTTTTACAATCGAAAAGCACTACCTATGATCAATATCATGGAGGTAGATTAACCTGACCTGATGCTTATGGAGACTTATCACAAGAAGTGTGCATTGACGTAAAGAAAATGCTTTACGAAATGAGAAAACTTAGACTTCATGGATGAAATACCTAAATGTCAGAAAGCCGCGACATACACACACAGGACTTAGGGCCATAATTAAACTAATGACTGGTTTGACCGTATCTTACGCCAAGATGTAAGGATAAGCGAAGAGCAAAGCGACTCTACGAGTAGACGAAGTTTTAGAAAAATTTCTAGATTATGCGTTATTTCGCAATAGGAAGATTTTTTAATTACTCCACCCCAACTTTGGATTAGTAGTAATTTTGGTGCTGTTGAAACCAGCGCAGCGCTCTTGTTATTTGAAAATACATTAAAGTCAATCAATACACGTTTTTGGGGGTATACTGGTAATCTGGTTTATGGTGTACTTAAATGGTGCAGGGTCATATTATTTGAATTCCCACAGTTTGTGACATCGTTTACCACCGATTATTTTAGTGTTGCACGGTCGTTACATTCTCTCGCCATAAAATAAGATAATACGACGCGTGTGACGTCGCAACAGGCAAATGTTTTCAGAGGAATCCCTAAAAATTCTCACGAGATCTATGTCTCTCTATTCTCTTGATGTAGAAAAATTATAAATTGTAAAAAATATTAAAAAAAATCACAATTGTTTTGTCGAAAAGATGCAGAAAGGTAAAGGTCGAATATGGCGTGGGTTAGGGAAAGACCTAACAGTTTTTAGCAGTGAACGATGATAAGCCGGTATGATAACATATAATAATGATGTAGTTAGACGAAATTGTGGAAAAGGGGATGAAGAAAAGTGGGCAGTACTTGATCTACTTTAGGGATTGATGAACCTACTTTAGGACTTTGTGTAACTGGTAAGGGGTACATTAGCATTGAGCCTTGGGAAAATGGGTTAACATCACCCCAAACCACGAGACCTTTCTACTGAGTAGATTTGCAAAGGGCAGAGAACAACAATCAATAAGCTTAGGTTAATGATGTAGTTTTTTGTCACTACCTATTTGATGGTTTAATATCTTATGTGTGATGTAATATGCGGCCTTAGAAGTTTAATCCTACTAATATTATAAATGCGAAAGTTTGGATGTCTGGATGTTTGTTACTCTTTCACGCAAAAACTACTGAACGGATTTTGATAAAACTTAACAGTATTATTGTTTATAACCCAGAATAACATATAGGCTATAATTTATGACGATCTGTGACAAACGAAATTACACTAATAATATTTACCTCTTTCATTTGATTAGCAGTACAGGTATGTGTATTACGAAATCGTAAGTATCTTGCTTGACGTCATAAAAAATATGAAAATACATAATGGGAGATCCCAAACATTTTTATCGGATTGTTCGATTGCAGTGATATCCAGTCCACATCGCGACTAGTTATGAGTATAACCCCTGAGTGTTATCTTTTGGCGGCGACAGACATTTCCTCGCGGAGCATGATATCAAGTTAATCCTTGTTTTTTTTCTTTGAGTATTATTGCCATTAATATTGAAAACCCTAGGATCAATCTTGAAGTTATAAAATTATAGTACCTACCTATCTACCATAAAAATTCATACTACATAATTATTATTTTTGTTTTTTTTTCTGACCAATGGCCATAGATAATAAGATAACCAACCAGGATAAATGGGAGACTAAGAAGGAATGATTTTGCAGTAATTATTGGTAAATTAGCCTTTTGTTATTGCATAAGCCAATATGAAAATAATCTGGCACTGTACACTAACAGGTCAGTGAACTGTTACTTTCACACAGTGAAGGCCACACAAATAGATGGCAGCATTTTATGACTGGCATTTACTGATGTCTTAAAAATATATCCTTCTTGTGTTTAAAGGTAGGGGAACAAAATGTAATCATATGATTTACCTTGTTTTTGTAACATTTCATATAGTTAACATATTAAAATTATAGAGAACTAATTAAATAGGTACATAATTAAATTATCAAGTTAATATATTGTTAAAAAAATTAAATTATATCATATTTAAAAAATCAAAGCATTTAGGGATAACAGCAGCTAGATGATGAGTGAATAAATAAATGATAGATTTTTTTCTATCGTAAGTTTCTGCAATTATGACAAATACATGCTTTGTCATGATTCATGAATTAACAAAGGATGGGTAGCTTAGGACAGTGACAATTATTTCAAACGGAGCAAAGGTGTTGGGTCTATTTTTGTTGGTGACCGTCATAAGTCCTCATTGATGTTGTAAAACAATTGTCATAATGAAAGTAATGGTCAGTCAGCACATAAACTCAAAAGGGATAAAGAAGCTGCCTTTGCTTGCGGGCTGGATGTTCAATCTAATTTAACGTTACTAGTCTAGATTGGCCATTAGCCTCGCTTGACTTGATGGCTCTCTGTAACAATACCAATTCCTATTATTCCAGTTGAGGACGCCACTGTGTCACATTTAATGATTTGTTTGTTTGCAACACAATGAAGTGCATTTCAACTACATATTTATTTACATTATAACACACTTTTTTTACAGAGTTACCAATCTGTATATGGATATTATAAAATCTGCCAAACAGATTGGATTTATTGTACTGATAAGAGGAATATGAATGGGGCTGTGTTGATAAGTTGCCACATCGTTTAATGTTTATAGTAAATACTAAGTATGTTAATAAATTATTTAGTCTGGTACTGAACATTTCATGAATGTTTTAAAGATATAATTCATTTCATTTTAAATTTCATCAAAAGTATACAACTCATGTAATGCTTTTATGAAATTGGAAGGTGCAAAAGAATAAGACATAGCGTACATCCTGCTGTCCAATTTTACAGTAATTTGTGTATTGTTATGTTAAAGTCACTGTGCTGATAACATAAAATTAAAATTGTTAATCATTTTTCTTTGCTAGCTAGTTGTAAATATTGTCTGCACGAGGTGTGTAAATATGTATTCAAAAGTTCATTGCTAAAGAAAAAATTCAAGGTAGTGAATGTAGGTCAAGTTGTTCTTTGTTGGAGATGCAAGTGTATTATGTATGCAAGCACTGAGAGGTCAGCAAAAAGATAATCCTGTTGTATAGTCTAGTCTGTCTGTCCAGCTGAGACTTGAATGATTGACCATGAACTTAGTAAAAAACTTTGTTTTATAGAGCCTCATTTACACCAAATTTTAACAATAATTTTGAATGCAACGTCATGTTTAGGATAAGAACAAAATAAGAAGGATTTAATTGAGAACCATGATAAAACATTTTTATAACATTGTTGACACCGGAGAGTTCAGTTTCAATTTCAGTTTAGAAACTCAGGACAACAATGATAATTTACTTCAATATAATAGGAAGTTGTATAAAAGGAAGAGCTAATTAGCATTCGACGCGCCGAGCGTAGACCGCGGAGCGCGCCACATTACGTTAAGCGCCCGGTGTCGCGACAATACTGGCTACATCTCCAAAAAGTGCCGACAACGAATGCCTAAACAAAGTTATCTACCACAGGCCCAGACAATGCCTCCTCACGAGCACAATAATCACTCCAAAACAACCCTCGTGTCTTCATCAACCCCAGAAAACAACCAGTCCAGCACGAAAATGTTTTGACAACATCGAATATAACCTAAAATCTCATGTCAAAATGTTATAAAACTTCTCAAACAAACGCGAAAATGCAATATCAATACAAGATAACTAAGGCGGATTGATGTCTAAGCACCCGCACGCAGATACGCAACCGATACAATGATACCTAGATGCAAATGCTAATGTCCTATTTGACGAAATTTGGTTTAGTAAATGTAACTTTCCCGCAAACGGTTAGTCTCATTGGAAATGCTTTGAAATTCTCAGTTTTCATCCAGATTCGGTGGATTTAGGGCTATAACGATTCTGAACTAATTAATGTGAGCAATTAACGAAGGTACGACAATCAAAGCAAAGCACCGCTAGTCGGCTGGCGGTGAACCGGCGAAGCTACAACAAAAATAACCAATTATTGTTACTTACCGCCGACTCTATACATATTCGCAGCCATTTTTATACACAATCACTATTCATTAACACTTAATTAATCTACATCTGACACAATTAATAACTATAACACTATGTAATTGAGCTTTGAACAATGTTTTTCATCACGTTAACTCCGGACGCCTTTCGCTGATCGCCATTTTCTTTCACACTACTAATTTGGCCAGTGCGCAGTCGCACTTTTTGGCGTAAACTTCCTGCTCTTGAAACAAAGCAATGACATCTCATTAATTTCTAATGCACAAATAATTTCAGTAAGAATGTGTTTCTGTAGAATTTAACGAATTATTTTACAAATATTGTCCATAATTGAAATTTGATTTACTATATCCTAAAAATAAAAAAAAATATTTCATTCAACAACGTTCCATTACTGGAGTAGCGTAAAAGATTGCCTTAGAGTTCCTGTATTTTATGAATGAAAAATTAAGGAAAAAAAATTGGATGAATAAATTTTTAGTTTTATTTTGGTAATAAATTATTTCAATAATATACTGCCGAGAAAATGTATGAGGGTTCATTATTTTTAAGATAAATATTGTAGTATCAAATATGTTTCTGTGTAATGGAACGTATTATTTGTAGCCCATAGACAACGACGCTCTCAATTAGTCTATGCCCTCTTCTATAAGCTATGTATTACCATAAACAAAGGCATCATAGCCCATAGAAAAAGTGAATAAAAATAAAATAAATAGAATTAAACGCACATAAATGATTTTTAATTGGTAAATCAATTCCTTTATTTTGCAATTAATTCGTTAATTAGTTGAACATAGATAATTTGCAAGTTGCGTTTTCAAAAATGACGTGGCGAATGTGACAGCTGTGTAGTCTATGGTTTTGACAATTGCCAAATCAGCCAGCCTCTTCCGTCTGCTTGAAATCACAAAAAAATCCATATTTATAAAATTTTCTGAATGAGTGCATAGCCAGACAGTGTAATATTGTGTATGTGATTAGTCCCTAGTCGCCGCATGCATACGTGGTTAGTATATCGTGGTATATGCGTTAAAAAGTGGTAGTTTTCGGAGTGTAATGTTTTCTTCGATGTTTCGTTTGTAGATCAACGTTATGGCGACGTACGAGGAGTTTATTCAGCAGAATGAGGATAGAGATGGCATACGATTCACATGGAACGTTTGGCCGTCGAGTAGAATCGAGGCGACGCGGCTGGTGGTTCCCCTGGCGTGTCTCTACCAGCCGCTGAAGGAGCGGCCTGATTTGCCGCCGATCCAGTACGAACCCGTGTTGTGCACGCGCAATACTTGCCGGGCGATCTTGAACCCGATGTGCCAGGTCGACTACAGAGCTAAATTATGGGTCTGCAACTTCTGCTTCCAAAGGAATCCTGTGAGTAGCTGTGCATGTTTGTTTTCAGTTTATTTTCCAATTTAACAATCATTCTGGGAATTAATATCAATAATATACAGTGACTACATCAACATAGTCAAATCAACTGTTCTTTTATGTAAAAAAAAAGCTTATTTGCCATTTCTCAATCTCCTTTATTTATTTCATAATACCAATTTTAATGAATGCTTGACAGACTCCCTTATTAAAACCATTGTTTTCCTCAAATATTAACTCTGAAATGCTGTAACTAGATTTTTGATATTTTCAAAGATGTGAAATAAAATAGCTGGTTGTGAAATAAAACTACTTTTTACTCATTTCTCACATTTTGTTTCCTTCCAGTTTCCACCCCAATATGCAGCCATATCGGAACAGCACCAACCTGCAGAACTGATCCCTAACTTCTCAACAATAGAATACACAATCACACGCGCCCAGACAATGCCACCGATCTACTTGCTTGTAGTGGACACTTGCATGGATGAAGAGGAATTAGGAGCATTGAAGGACTCATTACAGACTTCCCTGAGTCTTATGCCCCAAAATGCTCTTGTTGGACTGATTACCTTTGGCCGTATGGTGCAAATACATGAATTGGGTAAGAAATATTTATTGCACACACAAAAAAATGCGGTACAAAAAGGCGAACTTAATACCATGTGGCACTCTCTACCAGCTGACTATTGTACTTATACTGGCTTCACTTGAAAAATATATCAGTGAGAATCTAATTAGAATTTCAATGTAAATTAAACATAATTATTTATTACAGGTACAGATGGAATTTCAAAATGTTACGTTTTCAAAGGCACCAAAGACTTGTCCGGCAAGCAGATTTCAGAGCAGCTGGGGATTGGTCGCGTCAACGCCACCAACCCCCAGCAGAGACCAGGCCAGCCCGCTCCCCTGCCACCCGCACACCGCTTCTTACAGCCGGTGAAACAATGTGATATGGCTCTGACAGACCTTCTCGGTGAACTGGGACGGGACCCATGGCCTCTAGGAGTTGGCAAAAGACCGTTACGCAGTAGTGGTGTGGCCCTATCACTAGCCGTGGGCTTGTTAGAAGTAACCTATCCGAGTACTGGTGCTAGAATAATGTTATTCCTTGGTGGCCCATCCTCCCAAGGGCCAGGTCAGGTTGTGAATGATGAGCTAAAGCAGCCTATCAGGTCTCATCATGACATACATAAGGACAATGCCAAGTATATGAAGAAGGCTATCAAGCATTACGAAGCTCTGTCTTTACGAGCTGCTAGCAATGGACACTGTATTGATATTTACTCTTGTGCTTTGGACCAGACAGGCTTAATGGAAATGAAGCAACTATGTAATTCAACAGGGTGAGTTAATAAGTTAGTTTTTAAAAACATCAGTAGTTTCAAAATTCTGATGAAACTTATTAATAACTTGCAACTTTCAGTGGTCACATGGTAATGGGAGACTCATTCAACTCGTCGCTATTCAAGCAAACATTCCAGAGGGTATTTGCCAAGGATCAAAAGGGCGATTATAAAATGGCATTTAATGGCACATTAGAGGTTAAGTGCTCTCGAGAATTGAAAAGTAAGTTCAATATTTATTTTAATAAGTAAGCGAAAGATTGTGGGAACGATTTCCACCAGGCAGTTCGATTTTTTCAAATTATTTATAATTAACGCTTTTTAAATTGATACATTTTGCAATATGATAATTTAAATCAATAAAAATTGCTTTATGCAAAGATATTTGCAACAATAATGACGTCAATTAACATGTTAACACAATGGGCGGGTGCGTGTTATGTGACGTAACTTTATGCAAAATGTTTCTGCCCATATCTTTTTAATAACCAGACTGATTTTTCAAAACATTCATGCATTTCATATTCTTTTATTTATTTATTTATTCATAAATTGCAATTTAATACATAGTTACCTTAAGATGCTTAAGATGTTTTAATATGCTATCAATGAAATAAGAGCTTTGTATATTTCTTAGGGCTGATCATCAAACATCAAATCAAATCAAATCAAATCAAATCAAATATAATTTATTTGCATTAAATAGGGTTTCACAAAGTGGGTGTTATTACATTTTTAAGTTATTGTACTTATGCCTATTTAGCCATACTTAATTACAGCATGCAAATTTTAAATTTTGTCCTACATTAATTAATTAAAATTATAATTTATTTTATTA